CCGGCCAAAAAAACCGAGGATCTCCCGGCCAAAAAACCGAGGAGCCTTTTCTTTCCAAATCCGGGCTAAAAAACCGAGGATCTCCCGGCCAAAAAACTGAGAAGCTTTTTCTTTCCAAATCCTGGCAAAAAAATCAAGGATCTCCCGGCCAAAAAACCGAGGAGCTTTTTCTTTCCAAATCCCGGCCAAAAACCGAGGATCTCATGGCCAAAAAACCAAGGATCCTTTTCTTTCCAAATCTCGGCCAAAAACCGAGGATCTCCCTGGCATAACCCAAGGAGCCTTTTCTTTTCAAATCCCGGGCAAAAAACTGAGGATCTCCCCGGCATAACCCAAGGAGCTTTTTCTTTCCAAATCCCGGCCAAAAAATCGAGGATCTCCCTGGCATAACCCAAGGAGCTTTTTCTTTCCAAATCCCGGCCAAAAAACCGAGGATCTCCCTGGCATAACCCAAGGAGCTTTTTCTCCAAATCCCGGCCAAAAAACCTAGGATCTACCTGGCATAACCCAATGAGCTTTTTCTTTCCAAATCCCGGCCAAAAAACCGAGGATCTCCCTGGCATAACCCAAGGATTTTTTTCTTTCCAAATCCCGGCCAAAAACCGAGGATCTCCCTGGCATAACCCAAGGAGCTTTTTCTTTCCAAATCCCGGCAAAACCCGAGGATCTTTCTTCTTTCCATCCCGGCATAACCCGAGACCCTTTTTCTTTTTCCGGCATAACCCGGTCATAACTTGGATCCATTCATAAGGATACACAATCCTGATTTGATCGCTTAGATATGTGTCACAATTAACTCACGAAATTTTCCTAGTGAAAACTGGGGCAGAAAGTTTCGTTCGTTTGTTTGTTTTGGTATCTTAAGCAGGTCGACCTCAAGACGCAAGGTGCGAGATGACTAATGGAATGAGTCTCAATGCAGAGTCAAGAAAAGAAGAAAAGAACAAGAAGAAATGAACTCAAAAGTGAAGCAAGCAAGGATGCGGATTGCTCGAAATCTGATAGAAGTCACAAGCTCCCCTGATCCTGTTTTGACCCAATGCTGCATGAAGAAATAAACACCTACAACTTGCGAGCATCAAGATTCAGATCGAAGTCCATAACAGACTCAAGATCAAGTGTCAAGAGAATTATAGATAGGAATCTTGTAACTCATAGTTGATAGGCATAGCCAGCTTAGCTTGGATTTTCCTTTTGGTGTAATAAGGAGGCCAGCAAGCAGTAGCAGCAACAACAACAGTGAAATCACAGCTCCTGGTAGTCCCACCTACCAGACCTTCTAGAACTACACTGACCTGATTCCTTTATAGCCAAGGATATGTAGGCAACCTTTGAAACAGGGTTCGGTCAAACGGTTTTCAAAATGCTTCTCCTGGAGTGCTGAGCAGACAAAAATCCTTCATGGTGCTCATTTATCTTTGCCCGAAAACCCTTCGTGTCTTCGAGCAAAGAGGGGCAGCTGTGAGCACGTGATTTTGCCACGCTTAAATTACTCCTATAGAATTCATTAGAATTAGAATTTTTCTTTTAGTATTTGAATTTTTAGGAATTAATTGCATGATTTTGTATTTTGTGTGCATTTTTAGGTGTCATAAAAAATGAAAATTACAAAAATATCATACTTGCATTTAGGACCTAATTCTAAACTTTTATATTAATTAAACATCATTGAAAATAAGAGAGAAACTAACAAAAAATAATCCTTTTACATTTTTTGTTCCTTTAATTTCACTTTTTCTCTTTTTAAAAATTAGGATCTAGTTAATTCTAGGAAATTTAATTAGTCTCATTTTTGAATTAAATTAGCTTTTGGATATTTTTAATTTTGCATTTAATAAAATCCAAAATTCAAATAAATAAAGAAGAAAAGAGAAGAAAATAAACAAAAAGAAATAGAAATGAAAAGGACCAGGCCATCATTCTTTGGGCCCAAAAATTCGAGCCCAAAACCCCTTCCAAACCTGTTGCCCGGTCAAGCCCAAACCCCAAACTACCCGGTCCAGCCCCGTTATTGACGAAACGGCGTTGTTTCATCACGAAGCCATCCCAGCCGTCGAGGATCTTTGATCCAACGGCTGGGAAGTGGGTTCATTTTATTATACATATTTCGGATTTCCCTACCCCTACCCCCTTTCCGTCTCTCAGAACCCCACCGCACGCCACCCTAATTTCCGTCGCCTTCCGCCTTACACCGTCGTCGGAAATCGCCTCACGGCGGCGGCCGGTCTCCAAACTAGCCCAAATTTACACCATCAAATCCTCTTTCCCCCCTCTTTCCAATGCCCCAAATGATTTCCTTCAACTCTGAGCCTAGCCTTTCGAATATCAAAAACAGCGACACCGCCACCACCGTGCACTATAGTTGAATTTTAACTAGGGTAAAAGGGACCGGAGGTTTAGTTAGTATAAGATAGTAAAGTTTAGATTGAATGAAGGGTAGTATAGGTATTCCTAAATAAGAATAATGTTGTAGATAAAGCTAGGACACTCTAGACTCTTCTAGAAGAGGGCCTTAGTTTAAATTTCAGTAGGTTTAGTGCAGTAACTTGAGAAACAAGTCAAAACTTTAGGGCTAATGAGTAAAATCTGAAAATAAAAGAGGGGGAAAAAGTGTGAGTGAAATCTAGAAGCTTCCCCCTGAAGTTTGCCTATAAAAGGCAGCCCCCTGGCCTCTTTTTTTTTTTAAGTTTGGGCACCTCTGAAAATTCCCAAATCCCTTCCAGCTTCAATTTCCCTCTGAAAAATCTTCTTCTTTCAATCTGAACCTCAGATTTGAGTTTCAAAATTAAAAGAAGTTCAAATCTGAACTCCAGTAGTAGAAACCTTCATTTTGGATCTTAAATCCTGTAGAAAAAACCAAAAATAACAGAAAACTTTCAAAAAATCCAAAAAAAAACTGTTACATTGAAAACCTTAGGTTGTTTTAGATTTTTAATTGTTGATTTATACTTTCTAGCTCAATAGCTGATTGCAGAGTTCTTCTGAGTGTTACTGGGCTAAATTTAAGTTGAATCAAGGTGTATTCGAGCTATTTTGAGTGATTTAAGGGTTAAAATTGGTCCTGGGCAATCGATACTGCTGCTGGGGTTATAATTGAGTCCTCTACTGCTGTGTGTTGCTGTTTGAGCCTGTTTGCAAACTCAAATCTGCTTGCTGACTCCTCCTTCTTCTCTTTTGCTTTAATTCCAGGTACATTCCCTCTGTAACCTTCAAGCACTGGAAACGAAATGAAACATTGGCTCATTTGTCCACTTTGTTGTTTTTCAAATTATGTTTAGCTAGATTCAGCGAGTTAATGTTTTATTTTGTATACAGTCGACTAAGGACTACGTAGAATTATAAGGACTGTTGAACTATGTTGGATTTATTTGAGTGCTAAAATTGTAGTATTAGCTATAATATGATGACAGCTAATCTAATCTGTTTGAGGTTTAAAATTAGGCTG